ATTGTTATAACGCACAATAGAGTTTGTAATAATGGTAAAAATGATGAATGCATGAACGTCTGTCAGGATGAGAGTGCACAGCACAGTGCCGTGCAGCAGAGAGTAAAGGTCCTTACACACTGGGAGCGAATCTGCAAGGCAAATAATTTGCTTTTTTTAAAAACCTATTGGGCAATGTGACCTTACACACCAGCAGCAAAAATTTGTGAAGCGAAAAAGAGACTGTTATTTATTTACTCTAGTGTCGAATTTTGCGGAGGCAAAAAGGCGAACGGCCAGACCTCTGACCAATCAAAATGATGTTGGTATGTGGATGACATCACATCCAAACTTAACTGGCAGCATCACCCCTCGTCTGCCTTTATTCATCATGACTGAGGGCTTTATCGTTATTGTGGAGGAACGCTTTATGGGACAAGTCCCTTAAAATATTTCACGACACTCTCCTCAAGTAAAATATATTGCAGGAAGTAGGAGAAGACCTCAACTTACCCGGTGAGTATATTGATGTAATGTCAATCCTCAATCATCAATGTGTCACGTAGCGAACATAAAAAGAAGCTAAGCTAGCTAACTAACCAGTTCGGGGCAACTTTTTCAGTCCAGTAAACATTTTTATATGAAGAAAAGAAAAAGTGCCAAACTTTATTCGCTTAGTCCGTACACTGGCAGAAGGCAGAACTAAGTTGTCCATAGTATATACAGTCTATGGTGCTGATGCGAAACAAAGCTAAATTCACAGAATTGCAAAACTGTTGGTGTTCACAATGTCACAGTCAGGTAATGTTGGTCATGTTTCCACACAAGTACAAGCTTTAGATAAAAAGATGGAGGACTTTTGAGCCTTTGGGTTCAACGTTGCTCTCAAACTTAAAGGAAATGAAGGGAAGTGGTGGAGATGGGCTCTTCTCGATCTTTTAGCATCTAATCCTTTAAGGGCAAAAATCTGTGAAAGGCCGTGATTGTTTAATGCCGAACAGTTGTCCTCAGACCACATGTAGTGTACATTGCACATGTATCTGCTTTGCAACTCTAATTTAAAAAAGACGGTATTCTCTATAGATGTCGGACAGATGTGCCTTTAAAGGATGGTGCCAGAGCTCAAGTGAAATGAAGCATAAGCCCAGGGGATCAATACGCTCCAGTGTGAGTCAACAGGAGACACAGACTCACACACTCGTTCACTCACACACAGACACAGAGCTCTCCTTCCTTCCTTCCAGAGAGGAAATGTTCAGTGCATAAATATTTGGAGTTTGCTAATTGAAAGAATCTGTGCAGCTTCATTTCTGGGGGGTTCTTTAAACACTGAACTCATATGGATTCTTTGTATAGTTATCTGTCCCTTTGTTAATTAAGGCCCGAGTGAAATGAGCTGCGGCTGCAGTAAACACACAAATTCAAGGACACACACACACAGGTTAGGATTGATCTGCCACTGGCATTGTGTGTGTGATAGTCTGTTGTTTTCGCTCTTTGTTTTGCTTCGCCATGAGCGGCACATGATGCTGCTCTCCCATTGGCAGGCTCGTTACACGCAATGTATTCGCGGGTGTGCTTTTATGTAGGCAAATGCAAGCTGTCCGCTGGGAGAGGGGCAGACTGCTTTGAAATTCAACTGAAAAACATGTTTGCATGTCACTGTGTTTGCATTCAGGATTAAGAATTCATGAACATAGGTGTTTTTTTTACTCCACAACACACACACACACATGTCTAGCTGTGTTTCAGACTTTAGAGGAAGCGCACGGATTACAACTTGATGAGATTATAGAGGAAGAGGAGTGGGTTAGCGAGGAAGGAGTTCTGCACGTACTGTATCTGCAAATAGTGAAAAACAAATGAACGCTTTGATAGCAAGGTAAAAAAAATCTTTGTGGAGCATACACTTAAACCAAGATAGAGCCTCTCAAAATTTAACTAATTCACATGATAGACTCGGCCCATCTGCAGAGAACTGTAGCCTAGCTTTCCAACCAGTCCTCTTGGTAGGTTCACATTAAAGTGGCCAAGCTGACCTGCATCTATTGTGGCTAAAAACCACTTCAAAAACAGTGAAATATTCCTTTAATGTTGGGTCTCTTTTTATACTCTAACAACAATTACCTATCTTGCTCTTAAACCTTGGGCAGAGCTAGAACCTGTGGTAGACAGCCGTCTGCCTCGAGCTTGTGCAACAATATTGTGCAAATCTTGCAAGAACAGGTCATTATATTGTACCTGCAAGATTATAACTTATTTCCACAGATTTTTAAGTTGTGTTGATGAGAAAACTTGCAAGATATTTACATTGTGAACAATAAAATTATCTTGTTCCCACAAGATGACAACTTTTAGGCACAATGTAAATATCTTGTAGGATTAAGTTAATATCTTTTTGACCAAAGGTAATCTGTTGCTAAGACAACAAGATAGAAAACTTGTGTGAACAAGATTATAAATCTTAACTAGATATAAACACTTTGTAAACAAGATAATTTAATTGGTCCCACAAAAGCTTTAAATCATTTTCTATCTTGTTTGTGCAAGATACTCACTTGCTCTTACAGAACAACAACTTATAATAACAAGAGAATAACTTTGTCCCACAAGATATGAACTTTGCACAGATAAGATTGTTTCTTCCACAAAACAGTGTCATTGTGCACTCAAGATAACTATTTTGTGGGAACAAGTTATTCTCTTGTCACTATAATTTGTTATTTTGTGAGAGCAAGTGATTATCTTGCGCAACAAGGATAGAAAACGGTTGGTCCCACAAGATATTTCAATCATTTTCTACCCTGTTTGCGCAAGATAATCACCTGCTCTCACAAAATAAAAACTTATAATGACGAGAGAATGACTTTGTAAAAAACAAGATCATTTTCTTCCAGAAAATTCTTTCATTGTGCACTCAAGATAACTATTTTGTGGAAACAAGTTTTTACCTTGTGCAACAGCAAGATAGTCCCATGTCTTTACAATATCATAACTGCGGTTTACAGGATAATAACTTTTTCCCACAAGATTAAAACTTGTTTTTGCTCCTACAAGATAAATGCATCATGCAAACAAGATAATGCACTTGTTCCAACAAAAAAATACATTGTGCATGCAATACAATTATCTTGTTCCTGCAGGATGACAACTTCTTGGCACAACAACAATAATAACTTATGTTGACAGCATAGTTTTTTGTGCTCACAAGGTAACTGTGTTGTGCAAACAAGATAATTAACTTTTTCCTTGCGAGCATGATATCATCATCTTGTCATCAAGATGTCAACTTGAAGGAACAATGTTGATATCTTGTGAGAACTAATAATACTGTTTCTGTTCTTACACAATAATGACTCATGTAAACAAGATAACTTGTTCCCACAAGATAACTTATGTTGATTAAAATGCTTTACGCCATGGTTCCAACTTTGTGCTGTCAAGATAATTGACATGTTACAACTAGAAATTTACAGAATAACTTGTACTCAAAAAATTATAAACTCTTGTGTTGACAAGATAGGTATTTGCTTCCTCAAGATGAGTGCAATGTAAAGACAAGATACTCCCACAAGATAACTTATGTTGATTAAAACTTTTTCCTTCATGGTTTCCACTTAATGCTATCAAGATAATTGACATGTTACAACTAGAAATTTACAGCATTACTTGTACTCAAAAAATTATAAACTCTTGTGTTGACAAGATAGGTATCTGCTTCCTCAAGATGAGTGCAATTTGAAAACAAGATACCTCACATATTGTACACGCAGTTAAATTGGATTGAACAGTTTGTACACACAATGTAAATACCTCATTGAAACACTTGGTGGTCGAAGATAATAGTTGTTCCTATGGATAGGTCCCGCAAGATTATGATGTTTTGTGCACAAATTAATATCTTGTGTGCTGTACTTTTTGGGACTTAAGTGGCACCATGAGGCGAAAGGAAATGGATAAGGATCAGCAAACACAGAAAAAACAAAAACAATTATTGTGGACATTTGTCAACTATTAGCTTTAATAGTGATAATTTAAGTATGACTGATAGTTTTGATTGAGGTCAGTGCAGCTAAGCAGGTCAATGGCAGCCGCTCTACTCGAACCTGCAACATGCAAAAGCACCAATGACTCCCATCTAGACAGAAGTGTAGTAACATGTATACATGGGAAATTCATGCGTACAGATGGAGTAACCATAGCGCCACCATAACATGAGAGTTACCCTGAAAGAGTCAGGTTTGCCATGCATTGACAGATCGTGCTGCTTCGTTTGCATCCGCTCTGTGAAGAGTGGAGTCTGTTGCCTGCGTGTTACATGTGTGTGTTCCCCTCAGTGTGCAGCTCATTTAGCCCCTGACTGCAACACGTATAGCGTGATGTGTTTTTAAGCCCCTCCACTTAACACGCTAGACTGATTGTTCCAACTATTGCGGCACGAGCTGTCGCTAATAAGTTATGCATAACAGTGCAGATGGGAAACGTGTCTGTGTGAAATGACATGTGACAAGGTGGACCTGGGATCACGTTCTGTGCGTGCAGGAATCTCCTTTTCTTTGATTTTTCCCACTCTAAGAAGGACCTTAAACACACCAAATCTTCTCTTAGAGTCTTAATTCCTCACGTCATGCTCTCTGGGATTGGTGACATGTCTCAAACCTGACTTAAGTATTCACTACACAGGGCTTATTGTAAATAAAACCTGTTTTTGTGGATTTGTTGCTTAGATTTTACCGATAGAAGAAGGTTTATTACATTAAAACAGTTCCATATGGACTTTTCCTGCCATAAGAGGACCTAATACAACATCTCAGATCACACGTCCGTTATTCAAAAGTAATCTTATTTTCCACATGAGTTCATCCACACATGAGAGGTTGCTTTCTGAACATGGTGATTGATAGTGTTACAACATTAAATCACAAGCAGGTTAACCGATAACTCGTCCTCTTGGCTGGTAAGTGTTTCACACCATGCAGCTTTCTGTCAGTTTTCCTCGGTGCTCCAAACTCAGGGCACCCATGAACCAACAACGCTGTGAAGGTTTCTGGACTAACATGGTGGTTCAGAGGCCTGTAATGGAGACTAACAGAGCTGGAAATCCAATAGACGACCTGTCTCAGGTGGGTCTACCTGCTTTATACCCTTATTTGTCCGAGGGTGTGCTAGAAGGCAGGAAGGCTGGAGCCGCCCTGATGTTTTCTGGAGTCTTCCTGGCACTCCTTGGTATCGCCCTCACTGCCATGGGGTGGCAATATTACAAAGCTAAACCTGAATTTGAGTGGATCCAGCTCCTCGGGCCGGTTTTGATCTCTGTTGGGGGAACTTTTGTGCTGACCAGCGTCTGTAAGTTTCCAGTCTTGTCCTGCTGCAGAAACATGGATGAAGAAGCGCCCATAGAGCCTGTTACGGAGCAAACCTCAACAGGAAGTTCTTTAAGTTTTATATCAAATCCAGTTTTGCTCCACGGCTCCACGACGATGCTTTGTCTTCCACCTGCGTACAGCTTCATAGCTCAGGAAGTTCAGCAGGGCGTGGAGATCCAGCCTGGTGGGTCTGTGAGTGGCGTGCGTGCAGGAAGTCCTCCGTATGATGCTATGTTTTCTAATTCAGCTTTTACAGCAAGAGAAGAAGAGAGTCAACATCACAGCCCAGGAAGAGATAACAGACCAAGGTAAGAGAGTCAAAGTGGTGGAAAACAGTCATTTACACAGCGTGCTTTTGAACAATCCATCGGTTCTTTTAAAAGACGACAGTTTTTATTCAGTCTGTTTGTTGGTATGGTAAAAAAGCAGATAAAGAAAACATCTTTTTTGTGGTATTCATAGATATTTAACTTAAGTATTTTCCATTTTCTGCTACTTACCTATAATTTTAGACTGTAAGCTAATTATAAAATTAATTTTTACTTATTTGTAAAGGTCATAATAAACAGGTGATGCACTATTACAGTTTGTGCAAGAGATAACATCTTGTCAACATTGTAATCAGTAACATATCAATAACAATCATTGGCTCCTCCTCATTACCCAGCTTAAAAATTGACACAAAATAGTGTTTTTACGATGATTTGATTGGTTGAGTAGTTTATTTCTTATATAACTCAATGATATAGTCCCTTAGAGCAGGGGTGTGTCCAGTCTTTTTGGACTGGGGTGGCCCAACTAGGCCGGGGTGGCCGGGATATGGTTGCACACACAACAGAATAACAATGAAAACTTAACAGAGGTCATCTATATCCTGGCGTTGTCAGACCCATCATCCAGCTCACTAAACCAATCACAATCCTTCATTTAAGATTACGACTCAGGAGCGCTGGCTCTGCCACTGATGGGTCCAGTGATTCCAATATGGCGGCCATTTAAAATGAAGTGAATGATGTATTTTCAGAAAGCTGCATATGGACAACTGGCAGCACCAATTTTTTTGAATTTTATCCCTTATTATGTAAATTATGTAAATAAACGTTTAGGAGGGTTAGTTTTGTGTTGAGGAGTCTTAAAGTCAAGATTAAAAGTGATAAAGTTGAGGTAGGCGGGTGTCCCTTGGCCTTTTGGGTGTCTCTAGTGGGTCTGCAATGTTACAGTGCAAGCCCCTATAGACTTTAAAGTGTACCATTGTTTGCTTTATATGAATGATTTTGCCATATCAAATAGGAAAAGTGATAAAAAGTCATCTAGGAGTCTGTTTTTGGGCATGTAACATGTTAACGCCAGACCGGGCTGAGGAAAATGTTAATATCAAGTCAGATTAAAGTGAAATTTAACCCGACAGACACAGAGAGTACCAGATTTAATCTCACATTAACCACAGGGTCACTTTCTGTCGCTCAGTCCTCTCCTTTTTTTCTCACCAGTGCTTTAACGCTGTTACTGATTCTCATCAATCTCTGTATTTTGAACAATGTGCTACATGAGCTCTGATTAACACAGCTTTGAATAAACTAAACTGGAGCAGAAAATGTGAAAAAAAAGGCCTAATCACATAATAATAAATAAGCCTTGAAACGGAGACAAATGGGTCTAAGTATGGCCCCACATAATCACTCTGTGCAGAACTGGATCAGTCTAAATGGGCCAAGAATATAACATCATAGTGGAGAAATGTTACATGTATGAAAAACTAACCGTGTCGTAAATGTTTAATCCTCTCTTTTCCCACCTGCTCTTTAAACAAGTGCAGAGGAAAGTAAAACATTACATACTGTCATTAAAGGAGGATTTTTCCATTAGATCCAGAGTTTCATTTATTTATAATCCAATCAAATATTACCAGAAAGACATCCTGCATGCCACGAGAGAAAAAAAGTTCATTTTTCACTTTTCTCATATTGTTTTTAGCCGGTTCCTCCCTGCAGGTTTCCAGGAAAGTAATTCATTTTAATCCAAACAGACAGCAGGAATAATACATTTAACCTGGGATAACTATAAACTGCTGCCCTCATCGCGCTCCGCTCACTTATGTTGTCACAACTTCTGACCTCTTTCCGTCTGTGTGTTTCAGCTGGTTAATGCCAAAAAGAGGAGCGACCAGGAGGAACTTTTTAACCTCAGTGTTTTCTTTAAAAGGGCAACCTGCTTCCCAACGCGTGCTTTAAGGGAAAACCAATTTATAAAGTTTCCAATATTTCTCTCCAACCTGATGTTTGTTTTATGTTTCTTTCAGGATCCAGGGGATGGATGATGACAGAAGAGGTGGTGATGAAGGCAGCAGCTCCACATCTTTACATCCACCTGCATATGAGGACATATTTCCCTCCTTTAACAAACACAATTCAACATAAACTCTGCAGGAACTTCAGGACTTTTGCAGCAAATAATTCCAGGTTAAAATGTCAAATTTATTGGTTAAAATATCCGGAAATTTCCCACAGAAGTGCAGCTCCTCTCACAGCTGTTCTCATGTAAAGTTTGACCACGATAGTTAAGTATGAAGTCATAAAACTCACTAAAACGAGGCTCTCTCTCCCTGGAAGAAAACCTCGTTTAAATGGAGGATTATGAATAGATGAACTCAACTCCAAAGATTTGAAACAGCATGAAAAGTTCATTTTTAAAGTTGCTTGTTGTGTCTTTAAGCGGCTGCAGAAAATTAAAATCACTGCGCAGGCACTCCAAAGGTTTGCAGAGGAGATATAAGCATAAAAAGAGGGGGAAAAAATCTATATTTTTGTGAAAACGGTTCAATTTAAGCAGAATTTTCTCATGTTTAAAATAAAAAACACACTCTCTCCTTAAAATGGAAATAACTGGGCATATTAGTGTCCAATCAAAATTAAATTACAGCTCCTACGACAAAAACAATAACTTCTATTTGTACTACTATACTGCTCATCATAATAACAGTAATTTCAGGGGTGGAAAGTTACTAATTACATTTACTCAGGTACTTATGTAGTTTTACTTTTTACACATATTTTAAAATCTGCGCTTTTGTTTTTTATACAAAGTATTTTACTTCTTTGCATTCTGCATGAAAGCAGTTACAAACAAAAAACTAACTTAAAAAACCACTCACACTTCCATTAACTGCTCGACTACCAGCTGATTGCACTGCAAAAAGTGTCTTTGTCTCATTTCTACAAAAGAAATATCTTATTAGGCTTCATTTCAGTCACATTCATCCCACAAGTTTAGAAAAATGTCTCCTTTCAGGATTTCACACACTAAAAAGAAGACCTGAATCGCTCATAATGGGTAAATAAAATAACTAATAGAGTGAGAAAATGTACTTTTGAAGTGTATGAAATCAAGACTGAAATTTCTTGAAATGAGAAACCTTTATTTATACAAAGACAGATTCAACATTTCTTACATAAAATTAGAACAAGATAACAGCGTGATAAAAACAAAAAAGCAAAGATAAAGTTAAAATACACTAAGATAGTTAAAAAAACAGATGATCTGGATTGTTTAATGAAAAGTACATGTCTGCCGAGGACTTGCTGCTTGATTGAAGAGTAATAAAAAAGTTAATTATTTTAATAACTCGACTTCAAGATTTTTCTTATCCCTATTGTAGATTATTTCTTACTCTTAAAAAACAATTCAGGTCTGACTGTTAATGTGTAATATCATGAAACAAGACGTTTCTGGACTATGGGTTGAAATATGCCTTATAGGTTTTTTATTTGTAACCAGAAATAAGACAAACACTAAAATTTTATTTTTATGCAGTGTGGTTGACGTTTGCACTCCAAAAAACTCAAATCCTACCAAGTGAAGTTGTCCTTATTCTTGTCAAAATATATCATAATAATTATTTTAAATATCACATGTAAATCTTATTTCGACATATTCAAAGCCGATTTTTTCCGATGTCTTTAAAATAACTATTACATGTATTTATTTATTTATTTATTGTAAATTATCAAGAAAATTTTCAGACATTTTTATTTATTAAATACAATGAAGTCTTTATTTTTTGGCTCTTATCAAACAGGTAACATAAACAAAGTCAGTAAAGTACTTTATTGCATCAATTAGCTTGAGAAAATTTGCTTCTACAGAAATTGGGAGTTGATTTTATCCCACACCATTATGGGTTAATTAACAATCAGCACTTTAAGTAAATTTCTTATTAAGTACTTCTAACTCTTACTTGAGTAGATTAACTTCTACTGAAGTAAAATGTAATTAAAGTTATTGTATTTTTACCTGATCAGGATATTTCAGTCCTCTCTCTCCACCCCTGAGTTATATGATCAATAAATCAATACACTCAATAAGGTCAGCTATCAGCTCATATGAAACAACACTGCTCTGTTTACTCTCCGTTTTCCTGCAGGGTCAGTCTGCTGCCTGTAAGAGCTCAGTGATGCGTTCACTGTCCCCTGTGTTTGCAGGATAAACACTAGAGTCAGAGCACCACACGGGGGCAGAAACACTGAGGGAATACATGCACCTCCAGTCAGCGGGTCAGGGCAGGTGCTTGGGCCACGATGAGGAAAACCTCCTCAGTGATGATGATGATGATAATAATAATAATAATAATAATAATAATAATAATAATAATAATAATAATAATAATAATAAAATGTTTTCATTTCAGGGTTTTTCACCTAAAAAAATGTTATAACTTTCTTTGTAGTTCCTTCACTTTTTATTTTGAACCTTTCTTTTTTGCTACCTTCATTTTATTTTTATTTTGGTAAATTATTATTATTTAGCATCTTTTTAACTCCTTAAACTCTGACTCCAGACCGTTAAATCTCCCTGTTTCTGAACAATGGTGTGCAATAAACTCAAACTAACCCCATTTTTAAAAAAATAAATAAACTATAACTGCTTTCTGCTTCTAAAGTCCTATTTTATTTTATAAAGTAACAGTGAATCATTGGTGATTTCACTTAAATCTGTAAAACAAATGATAAAAATACTCTCAGTTAAATAAAGCAACACGTGTGAATTGTGGAAAGTTACGTGTGAAGCTCTGTAAGTGGTCTACAACTCTGCAGTGAGACAAAAGACTGACAATAGTAAACAGTTGCACTTTTTATAAAGCCTATTTATTTATAAAATGTATGAATGATGAACACTTTATATCAATTCAAGTCAAATTAAATTATTAGCTCAGACAGTTTACTAGTTAAAAAGTTCGTAGTCACTTTTAAGACACATTTTCTTTAACTTCTTCTCTTTAATTGATAAAAAAAGTCAATTTAAAGTCAAATTTCTGCCGCAGAAGCAAATATGTTTAAACATCTCAGACTGTATTTTTATATGAAGAAGTTTTGGGTGTTTTTGTGATATTTGACGTGGATTAAACTCAGCAGAAAAACTTTTCACTCTCAGACTATCTACTTTTTCTGTAGGAGTGATACCTTGTGCATTATCCTCAACATTCTTGTTTAAATCATTTCCTTAATAGTCTAACACACACACACACACACACACACACACACACACACACACACACACACACACACACACACACACACACACACACACACACACACACACACACACACACAGCCAAACTCCAACAACTCTTTACAAAGAAAAAAAAAGTACTTCTGAAACTGAAATTTCTCAGCAATTTAGCAAACATCAGTCAGGACCTCCTTCACACTCGAGCCTGCAGATCTGTAACCGCAGCTCAATATGACTTTCATTATTCTAACAGTGCTGTAAAACCCGGGTGGCCGATAAGGACCCCATTATGGATTTCACCATTTTTGGAGCGCTGTAGACGAATTATGAGAGTATTACGGAACAAGCTGAACGATAACAACCCCAGAATGAAAGAAAGAAAGAGAGAGAGAGAGAGAGAAAGAAAGAGAGAGAGAGAGAGAGAAAGAAAGAGAGAGATCATTGGTCGGTATAATCCCACGAGAAATCCCCACAAGTGCTGATATGAGTTTAAGGTTATGAATAGATGATTATCTGTAATTTTGTGGTTAATAACAAGGAAACCACTTCATTGTTTCCAGCTGGGAATCATTTAAAGAAACAGCAGTAATTATATAAAATTAATAAGAACAATCTGTGCTGGTTGATAACAAGATATTTCCATGAAGAATGAAGATAAATTATAGATTTTAAAACTCCAGAGTGGCTTTGAGGCTGTCCCTGAATGCAACAGGTGTTTGTACTTTTTTCTCCCCCCGTGCAGGTCTAGACCAGTTCTTTCTCCCTCTCTGCAGGATTTTCAACAAATGCTTGTAGGTTAAGGTGCTTTTATTGTGAAGGAGACTCATGAATAAAACACATTTGTGGTTTTAAGTGACATAAACTCGACTGTCTACACAGTTTGACGGTTTAATTTCATGTCATCTTCTTAAAGCTCTCCTCTGAAGCCTCCATCTTTATTCCACGCATGGCTGCATTAGACATCTAAGGGATGTCGTAGATACTTAGAATTCACCAAAGTACAGAGTGCAGTTTTCAGTAACATCATTTCCTCAGTAGATGGATGTCGACTTTTGAAGTTTTTGAAGCTTTTGAAGTCTTTCTGACTCAAACACTATTGGTCCCATTCTTGCAACACTGATGACACATTACGCTTTAATAGAGGACCATCAGTGTTAGCTAATCTTATTCAGATGTATTCACACACCGCTGACCACATTACCATGTTAGGTGTTAGGTGTTCAGAGTTTTGCTTTAAGACATTTTGAAGGTTTGAGATCCTGTTGTCACATACCGACCTCACAACTGAGGCCAACTTCCCCACTGTGCCGTCACTGTGTTGTGTTTAGGTGGAAACTTCCATCAAAGTTCAGTTGTTCATTAGGACCATGACCCACTACAGAGTCATCATCCTTATCATCATCGTCTCCATTAATATTATCATCATGAAACTGGTTGTCATCATTATCTTGGTCAATATCATCACAACCTTTTTCCTAATCCTTCTCATTAACATTTTGATTATTGTTATCATCAGCTTCAAAAACATCATCATGAGCCTATCAACACCTATAATGAGCATTATCATCATTATCATTATATCACCACCATTAATATCATCATCATGTTATCATAATCTATTGCTATCATTATCATGTGCTGTCATCTCCATTATCAGCCTTATTCTCATAATCATTAGCATCATCACCATCATCATTGCCATCTCTGTTATGATAATCATCATTATCATCATCATTAGTGCTTTCTTCATCATCATCTCGATTATCGTGACCATCATCAACATCATAATCAACATCATAAGTGTTGTTGTCATCTCTATCATCATCATCTTTAGCAGTAGTAGCTGCATCATTGTCTTCTTGCCATTGTCCTTATCATCTCCATGAACATTATCATGGGCCTAGTCATTATC